GAGTGAGTGAGTGACATTGAGCGACAGTGAGCGACAGTAAGTGACAGTGAGTTTAATGCCGCTTTTAACAGCATTCCAGTTATATCACGGTATATGAGCTTACTGTTGCAGGAAAGCCTGAAGTGATGCAGGTCTCCGAAATATACCGCTTTGGTGAAAGACACCTTTTTTGTAAATTAATACACCATAAATAGAGCAGAAAGCCTAACTAGAATATTTTCGATTTCACTTGAAACATTGCTTAGTCGGATTTGAGCCTTGGTGTGTTGATCCATGAACACTAAATAAAGCAAGATGCCCACTTTCTATAACCCAAACACTTGATGCGAAAACAGTAATACACATCCATTTGTCAATTTTCATATAATTCTTATTTAATTCATCAAGGGAAGCCATAGTTGGACAGAAAGTCGCAAGCAGACGGTCAACATCATCACCAGTCTCACTCACCTGAGTCATGCCAAGGAAACTGTCTTAAATATGGAACATCTCCAAGCTTAACCTTAAATCATTACCATTAACCCAAGGAAGAAAAACCCCGGCTTTCAAATTATGACGTACTGGTGCTGAACTGCTTCTTACGACAAACATAATGAGTTCCTGGTCTTACAACTGGCTACACATCATTAAACAATTAAGTATTGGCATATTCCTTACGCCTCTTCCTCTTAAAGAAGCCTCATCTCTATCAATCTGGCTGGGGCTGCTTCATTAACTTTGCATATCTGTCCTCCCTTCTCAAAGCAAAGTCTGGTCTCATTGGTACATTCTTTCTTAGCATGCAGATCACGAGTGAGTGAGTGAGTGAGTGAGTGGGTGAGTGAGTGAGTGAGTGAGTGAGTGAGTGAGTGAGTGAGTGAGTGAGTGAGTGAGTGAGTGAGTGAGTGAGTGAGTGAGTGAGTGAGTGAGTGAGTGAGTGAGTGAGTGAGTGAGTGAGTGAGTGAGTGAGTGAGTGTGGTTTTACCCCGCTTTTAGCAATATCCCAGCAATATCACGGCCTGGGACACCAGAAACAGGCTTCACGCATTGTACCTACATGGGGAATCGAACCCGGGTCTTCGGCATGACAAGCGAACGCTTTAACCACTAGGCTATCCCTACGCCCCTACAGATTACTACTGGACCTGTTGAAACACAAATGCGAAAAACATATTGCCGACAATAATAGTAAGTTGTTATACTTGTACTCAGGCTTGCAATGTACAGTTGTACAGAATAGTATTTACACCGTATTAACAGTAAATTGTTATCATTTGGAAGCTCTTGTTGCTATCTGGGTAGGGCTGGGACGGGTCCAAATTTACTACCCGGGTACCCATCTCCCTATTCGGTGACCCTACCTGGGTACCCGCTGTAGGTCTCAAGAATTGAGAACAAAATGTCTGATAGGGAATTGTTTTCCCACAGCCCTGGCAAAAACTATTTAGATACATGTATCAAATGATAAGATCATGCGTACACAGGAGTTGATTGAAGCTTTATCTTCGCTCAATCATATACAAGTCAAAGGAATGTGTGCATCGTCAGAAAGAAATGCGAACATTAGCAACTTGTAGTGTAACCACTGAGCTAAAGTGAGTTTTTGTCATTAAACAATATATCACATGACTAACCACAGATCCAGGTAGTACTGTGGGTACCCATTCCTATATCTGGGGATACAAAACGTTACAAAAAGTCTGTGTGATATTGAAGATGTCGAGTCAAATCGTTCATTGTGCAATGTCACTGAAGATAAATTGAGATTCTTATACGAGCACGTGTGTCATACTGATTTTACGAAACAAGTGTCAGAATTTGTGTATTTCCTGAGTGATGATGTAAACAGTTCACTGGTGCATGTAAAGTGATATTTGCACAAGTGAACACAGTTATTATAAACTTGGTTATTTCTAACCCTATGGGTGATAAAACATATTATTTTTCATTGCCCATTATGAAAGATTACAGCGTCGTGACATAATTACATGACGCAGTAAGGCTGTATCCTGTTTGAAGTCAGTATTTTTTAAACGGAAAACATGGATAGATTTTTAATGTTTGGAAAATGTTTATATAATTATTTGTGAGTATATGATGTAAATGTTCATATTTAACTATACACAACATGCACCACTGCAACCTATTATTGAAAAGTGCAACGTAATATTTATGTGTATGTTCAAATTCAAATTTGTGTCTGAGTTGCCCTTACTTTTCAACCCAACTATGATTTTTAATCCCCCTCAACAGCTTTAAGCTTTATGTACCACACTACACCACTAACCCCTGTGGTACGTGTAATTCGTCATGCTATCTTGGGCTTGTCATCAAATTGTGGATACTTCAAGATTATGTGCACGTTCGTTTTACGTTTCACAGAAAACTTCATTAATTTATGTAAAATCGTGATACAGTCGTCAGAGATCTGAGATTTTATTTATATAGACTAGTTTATGCATCTATGGCTGACCTTGATAAATTCATGGGACCAGGGTGCAACCTGGTTTTGTCTGGTGCAACTAGGTTTTCTTGTCAACATGAACTTGGTGTAAGTTGAATCAAGTTCCTTAAATCGAGCCCTGGCTACAATGTAGATATCGCTTGAGTGAGTGAGTGAGTTGTGTTTAACACCGCTTTTAACAGTATTCCAGTCATATCACGGCGTGTCAGCTTAATGTGGGAGGAAAGCCCCAAGAGATGCAGGTCTTAGACGTTTACCACTTCGGTGAAACCCACGAGCACGGGTATGGTGCTGACACACCTAGAAACATAATCGGGGCGAACCGGTATTCTAACCCACAATCATAGGTTTCTGGCGTGCCGAAGGGACGCAACTCTGCACAGCGAATTGCGGCACCTTAGACGACTTGGCCCCCCGTGTCCCCCAGATATCGCTTGATTTCACCCATGCCATATCTCCTGTAAATTATCATTGATCACATGATGATGAATTTGTTAAGAAAAAGATGTGATGCTTCTTATAGCAGCTTTACAGCAGCGAACATCAAGAATGGGTCTGACACACGAGCCACACAGGAATCAAACCTGTGCTATCAGGACACTGAGCCAACACTTCAACCACGTGCCTACCCAACCACCTTGCCGGACAAACACAAGAGCAGACCAATTGTGTATTCTTATTTGTGTTTAAAGTAGGACTACTCAACGTGGTAATAGTAACCTTAAGTCTTTGAATTGCATTTAGAAGTGATATACATAAGGAAGAGAATTTATGGATGTCAAACAACGTTTCGGAGCATATGCTTACTCCTTCTTCATACTCCGAAACGTTGTGTTCCTTATGATAAAGAAGCTGACTTTCACTACTAAAACAAGGTACAGACAGCAAAGGCAAAGATACAAATTTTGTACATAAATTACAATTTTGTAAATAAAAGCGACAAAACCCTTTCAATAACATTACAAATCTCTGGTAGATTAAGAGTACATTGTACAATTCTGACTACATTATAAGCCAGTGTTACTGCTGACTTTTGAAACTGTCAGTCCCGATGGACTGGCAACTCTAAAAATTACCAGTCCCAACTTTCAACTAATTAAATAACATATAAAAATTACCTGGTTTTAATTCTTTCAACATCCTGTTTAATGCAATGATATCATCTCTGAAGTAACTTAGTATGATCTACACAGCATTCACACAAAAATCAGTCACAAGTTTCTTTCTTTTTTAATATTTCAAGGCTAATTACAAATATACATAAAAATAAATATACTGATATACATGATATACCGGTATATTAAACCTCCAAGCAAAGCAAAATGTTATTTCCTTGCACTAAACGAAAAGGGGAAAACCTGATGGTAACAGACAAGCTGACTTCATTCAAACAATATACTTATATGAATATCCCTGATGTTTTGTTCAACAACAAAGATTTATAAGGTACTTTATTTGACGGTCCACAGGGCTGGCAGTCACATGAATTACCGGTCCAATCCCAATTTTACAAGTATATACTGGTAATTAGCAGTAAATGGGAACACTTTAAGCAGGTGTTTATGAATCGCAAACAAATAGTGATGGTACCAAATAGACATGCTTACAGTACTGAATCACTGTTCAATAGGCTGCATGTACATTATCGTTATCAACCGGATGTTGTGAGGTTTCATGGTTTCCGCAACCTGATTACCGTGTATTAGGTTGAATGTTTAATTCGTGATCTGTGAAGCTAATGATACGAGGGTAAGGATATACCAAATGGCACTTGTTGACAGCAACAAGAGTATGGTTTCTCAATGTCTAAATATCATCATATTTCATGGTAATGATTAAAATGTTCCCATAACACTAAAATCAAGGAAGCATTATTCATACAGTCCTCACTAAATACAGACATTGAGCCTTGTAAGATATATATCAGCATGTAGCCATTTGTTTTGATGATATTTAAATAGTTCATTTTCATAACTTCAAGTATCTCAATAGTGAAATCAAATCGTCAATGCCAGAAATTAATCTGTCTTGAATGTCTACACGTCAATGCTGTAAAAGGCAGTGTATGGACACAGACATACGTCACGGACAATGTATGACTTTTTCCCCAACAATAAGCATCCTAGTTCTAACCAGCAGATCACATGTGCATCTAGACAACATCTTGTCTCTGAAATCAACATATTTTACAGAAAAAAGACAGTTGTTAAATTATTGCTATAAAATATTACAGAAAGGAGCCCAGAGACTTTCTTCATTTTCAGAAACTGCAGTAATCTAGACTTGCCAAACATTATAGACTTGCATGGGCTATATTGGATATATTTGTTTCAGGGTCTGTATGACAGACTAACGTGCCTCCACAAAAATCAAGATTCACATTCTCGTGTTTTCTGCTACCCTTTTTCACAGATTCTTCCATAAAAAAGAAGCAAGGTCAAACACATTATAGTGCATTATATCATCATGATATACTTTCAGAACCAGAGCCATGCAAAGATCACTTCTGGGGGCATCTGAATGTATCACTTGTAAGGGGAGATAACTGTGTGCTTACCTGATTGGAAAGGTCGGATCATATTCAAAGTCATTGATTGCTTCAGGATAGCCGATGGCTACCATCTGCTTCTTCAAAAGGTCGAAGCCAAGGGATTCGTACTCTGGTGACTTGTATACTGAAAATATAAGTAACATCACCCAGTTTTAGTAACATTGAGCAATTAGGATGATCTAATTAATATCTGTTCTTTTGCCAACACCAAACAAATTGTCAACAGTTGCCAACTTTTATGCGTATATACAGAGTTGAGCGGACAGTGTTTCTTTTGGTTTCAAGGAGTCAAAACATTGTGTACAAATTAAATCAAACACATGTTACTTCATGCAAAAATGTTTGGTGAAGTAACTCTCTTCTCATTCAACTTTGATTTGAAAACAACCTGTTTTGTGTTGAAAGTCGATTTGACGAATATGTGTGCCTTACACAATTTACATACTTTATTTACAAACCTAAGATGCTTTTCATGTGAACTAATATGCAACATAAGCAACAAATATGCAACTAAAGCAACAAATATGCAACATAAGCAACAAATATGCAACTAAAGCAACAAATATGCAACATAAGCAACAAATATGCAAGTAAAGCAACAAATGTGCAACTAAAGCAACAAATATGCAACATAAGCAACAAATATGCAACATAATCAACAAATATGCAACATAAGCAACAAATATGCAACATAATCAACAAATATGCAACATAAGCAACAAATATGCAAGTAAAGCAACAAATGTGCAACTAAAGCAACAAAAATGCAACATAAGCAACAAATATGCAACATAATCAACAAATATGCAACATAATCAACAAATATGCAACATAAGCAACAAATGTGCAACTAAAGCAACAAATATGCAACATAAGCAACAAATATGCAACATAAGCAACAAATGTGCAACTAAAGCAACAAATATGCAACATAAGCAACAAATGTGCAACTAAAGCAACAAATATGCAACATAAGCAACAAATATGCAACATAAGCAACAAATATACAACTAAAGCAACAAATATACAACAGAAGCAACAAATAAGCAATGTATATTTATATCTCTGTAAATTCAGCCAACTTAATTGTGAAATCCTTGAATAACTGAAGAGTGCTCAAATTGATATTTCGCCAGCGCAAATAAAATTGTCATTTCACTCAAACACTAGACTAACATTTAGTCTATGAAACCTCATATTACACAATACCCTTCTTGACTCTAAAAATAAAATAAAAAATTGCCGATGCTGATTGTGGAATAGAGCTAGCTAGAGCTGGCTAGACTTGCATTTGTATATGTTTCTAGATTGTGTTTTTTTTCATAAAGTAAATATATTCCACAGTCATTGTGCAGGACGACTCAAACACCTAAGCTGCCACTTTTAGACAAAACCCTGCCCTTGTTATCAGGGGGAATGAACATAGTCCTCCTTTCCCTGTTAAGGAAAACCCTTAACGTATGTAAAAGAAGTGATTATTTGACAAGAAATGGGACTTGTGATAACAAAACACTTGATGGAGGTGCCAGTCCATGAGATATCAATAGTGTGCAGTCATTGTCATCAGAGGTCCCATAATTGGCTAATTTTCAGCTCCGCAGATGGACATTTTGTTTCCAGGAGGAAGTGCTCTCCAGATAAAACAATCAGAACGCAAAACCTTTAAGCTTCAGCTATTTTTAATTGGAATGAAATCTGTCTTTTCAGCAAGTTTCCGCTGTACGTTGTGTAGTTGAAAGTTACACATCCACGACTATCTACCAATTAGAAAAAAAGTTGTTTTTTTAATTGAAAGAAAATTGGGGCAGGGAATTCAGTTACTGAAAGACAAAGAATGGTGCTATTTCTGTGAATTTAAGACAAATTGGAGCTTGTGTCACGTGCAGATTGCATTTAAAAGGTTGAATAATCAACAGTAGAGGCTTAAATGTTACACACTAATTAACTTGATTAGAAGGTAGGAATGCTGCATTCTTATAGTTTGGTTGCAAAGAATCAAAGCAGGATCTATTTTTGCATTTAGGACATGGTGTTTCAGACTTCAATGAATCACAATAAAACATCAGGAAATAAACCAGACCCTGTGGAGTTTCTGGGTAAGAACAGTCCCCAGAATGCCATTCCCAAATTTAAGCACATTTAAGATTTATCACATGAAGCACATGTGGTGCCTCATAGGCAAGTGACTTTGCTTGAAATATGCCTCTGTTCACCCAGCAGTGAATGGGTACCCGGTAGGATGAGATGGTAATGTGACTGTTACCATCTAACACCTCAAAGGCAACTTGGATGCATGATCCCCAGGCAGCTGAGAACGAAAATTGAGTACACACTAGGCTAACAATGTAGCTCTTGGAGCATGCTTCAGGATGTGGATAGGCGCATCATAAATATAGGCACATTAACATTGCTGTTGTTGTTGTTGTTGTTGTTGTTAAAGCCGACAAGCAGCGGGATTGGCCAGGCAGGCTCAGGGGATTGGGTGTTTGCATGACATTGTACCTGCACATGCTTTCAGTCACCGGTTTGCCTGGTCCGGATTCAAACATGTACAGGCAGCCATGACCTGACTGTAATATTACTGGGAGCATGGGTGGCCCAGTCGTTTAAGGCACCGCGATTTGCTGTGCAGAGTTGCGTCCCTTTGACACGCCTGAAACCTATGATTGTGGGTTCGAATCCCGGTTCGCCCCGATTATGCTTTTAGGTTTGTCAGCACCATACCCGTGCTCGTGGGTTTCACCAAAGTGGTAAACATCTGAGACCTACATCACTTCGGGCTTTCCTCCCACATTAAGCTGACATGTCGTGATATAACTGGAATACTGTTAAAATCGGTGTTAAACCCAACTCACTCAATCACTCACTGTAATATTACTGACTGCTGTGTTAAACAAAACAACATTATGATATAACATATGATGAAATGAGAGTGAATTGCAATTTCCTATTTTCTGAAAATTTTCAAGCTATTTTTATCTAAACTTAGCAAAGTTTACAAAAAGCTTCTCATAACTCCTTTCGATGATGGGATACAGTGTCAAGTGTTTATGCATTTTGTATCATATCTTGATCTGACAACAGAGGCATGTTCCGTGTCACAACAATGTGTAATGGTTGATTTATGATTCAAGGAGAAATCTACAGGGATCTTGTCGACGTCTTCTCACCTGTTGATAATTCATTAAGGGAACCACTGATCTGAAACTGACATCTAACACACCTAAATTGTCATTTTCACAAAACACAAGAGCAATTTTACATTCATAAAAGATATCCGCTCTAATATGGACAAAGACCAGCGGCTCGGTTGATGGGACTGACTGAAAGACGACTAACAGTAGACACTTCACAAGTCAACTCGTCATCCATTGACAAGTTTCTTCAATAATGTGAAGCATTCACTTTGAATTAACAAAGAATGAAGGATGACAGGTAAATCATGTCAGTCTCTTGACACACCAGCTTGATTTTCTTTCTATAGAAAAAAGAAGATCTAAACTCAGCAGGAGAACTTGCACCACTTGACCATCTGTCCCTTGTGTTTCAGATGGCTGCTCACACAAATCTCATCTGGGACCGTATCATAACCAGTTTACATTTTTAATTTTCATACATCCTCACAAAAATGTTTGTATTTGATTGTTAAGATTTGACAGTCAATTTGACCTTGACAGAGCGAGTACAACTTGACCATGTATTCCTTGTTTCCAACTGATTGTTTCCTCTATCTCACCAGGAACCGTATCAAAATCACTTGCAATTAAAGTCAAACACCATCGAGTTGAACGGACCTAGAGTAAATACTTCGAGTGAGCAGAGGTTCAACAAAATAAAAAAATGAACTCGACATACATTTACCGATTAAAGGGGCACTGATCTAACGCAATTCCCCGGGACTGGTTGTTGCCTTTGTTATTGTTTTTTCATAGTGAATACCCGGATGTATAGCAGAAATCTAAACTAGTTCGCGACCTCTGCTGCGCCATTCGTAAGCGCATTAGTCACTTTTATGGGTAGTAATAAGGGCGTATGGTCACATTGATCAACAAAATGAAATACAGTTTTCGAGATAATAAGGAAATGTAGGTATCTTTGTGAGTAGCATCGGTAATGGTGACGAAGTTTTGATAAGTCACTTGCTTGGTAATTTTGCGATTTTCGTTTGCACTATTTTGACTTGCAACACAAAGTATATATTTCACCTGAGTATATGCTTTTTTATAGTGTGTATATTTTTTTACTGTCAAATGTGTAACAAATTTATTAAACGTCTAAATATTCAGTTATTTTACAAAGTGACTGAAAAACATTTCCATCTGTATTATTATGACAACGAATTCCAAACATTTTGATGTTTAATGTCATCACCAAGAGACTGAAAATGTTACGTTGAAAAGTACATTTCTAAGTTGTTTGGCTTTTAATCCTACATAATAATCTGTTGTGATGTTTGTAGGCCCTTTTGATCGTCTTGATCAATCTGGACAGATTTTTTAGTCAAAATGACTGAAATATTTACACATTTTACAAATTGACGGTAATATATACACGCTTACAAAGGAAAAGACCTGTGACAACAACGTCTATCGCGCATTGAAGAATTTCCCAACCAAGACGTAGAGAAACAAGAACGGATCAGTTCAAATGAAGGAAAACAAAATGCAGATATCATAATTACAACCTACCAAATTTATGTGTATAAGTTTTAGGCAGCTTCCTTGTTCGAGGAATGTATCCGTGAATATCCACACAAAGGAACAATATCCCACTCGTCTGCAGCTGTACAAAGAAACTTATTCGATGTCACGTGTCTCAGTAACAATCAAATATTTTAAAAGATATATATCGTTTCGGGATATTATAACCCGTGTTCGTTTCTCAACTGATCGCTTGGATTGTTTCAGGTGTTTTACATAGGTGTCAAGTCTCAATGGTCGGCTGAGAAAGCCCACGTGACAACTATTTTCATAGCGTCCACGGTTCCTAAAAATTCCATTGAGTGATAGATAACAATGATCAATCAATCAACGTATTATCAGTTAACCTTTTGAACAAAGTATGTTGTTTTTACATCGGCACTTCGCGCCATGATATGAGTGTATTCCCTTTGTTTTAGTAAAC